TGTTTGATTTAATTTTTTATAAATAGCAATTATTTTTTAAGGGTTTGGGATTTGTCCGGGTTTGGCCGGCAAGTATATTTGTACTATAATAACATAATTTAGTGGGTCTGTTTGTTACTATATTTAGTTTATTTTTTTTAATATTTTCTTATTCCAGTTATTTAAATTATGTAGGTAGAAATCAGGTTAGTTCATGTATATAAAGTAAGTATTAGAATCGTTACTTCTATAATATATTAGTGATATTTACTATTTACCTACTATTTTTTATTATTCAGTATTAAAATACATTAAAGTTCATAACATATTAATTTAGTATGTATCCACATTTCATACAAGAAAAATAACTATTTTAGTTTCTTTCAATTCTGTTGTGAATGTTATTGTGTAAACACTACCATTGCACACTTTCTAAAACACCCACCTTTCTTACTGTTCTTAATAGCCGATATTCTATTATTTAAACCTAAGTTTTTTTCTAGACTGGTTGTAGATGTTTTTGTGCTACAGATCTACCTCAGCATTATATACCCAAGTCTTTTTAGTCAATGCATTATGGTATTTAATTAAAAAATCTATCTTCTGAATATTTACGAAATAGTACTTAGTCATTTATGTATTAGATTAAATGTAATTTTTTCATCTACAACTGAAAGAAAAATCACATCACATTTGATATCAAATTTAATATTTTATATATCCAATATATAAGTATTTGAAAATAAAAAAAAATTAAAAAACTTCGATATTAATATAAATGTCCACTACTACTCTAAGTAGGGGCCTGCACGGGCCTAAAAATTTGTACTTTTGTTGGCCTGCAAATAAAATTTATTATATTTTTTACGCATTTACTATGTTTATGATATATGTATCAGGTCTGCAATTTTGAGTTTTTTTTTAAAAATTTTCTAATTTCTGTCTGGCCCACGCAAGCCTCTAACTTCAAGTATGGCCAGCATTGCAACATATTTGATATCTGGAAATTTTATAAATTAGGATTATATATCAACTTATTCTAAACCTTATGCCAAAAATCTCTGTATTTTTTTTAAAACAAACCTTCCTCATATCTCTAAATTTGATTCTATTATATAGATCTAATAGTTCATAGTATGATACCCTCCCAATACTAATACAAACTCTGTTCACAATGCATATCAGTTTTGGTAAATTTGACAGTAAATAATAAATAATAGATTTGCTAAACATCAAATAAATTGAAAAGCTTGCGTTTTACTAACAGTTCAAATTGTTTATTTACACTTTAAATATAAAATCTTAAAAAAATCTTTCTAAGCAATAGTTGAAAATAAAAAATAGCATCCAAATTTAAATATACGACTAATTTATCAAGCACAATAAATTAAATTTCACATAAGCAAGTAAATATCTATATTAATTGAGGCATACCAAATAATATACGAAAGTGGCTAAATTGAATATTGTATTTATAAACCAAAACATCATTTTATAAATATTAGGTTAGAATATAGTATTAAAATTCAAAATTACCTTAATACGCATACCAGTAGAGGTCAGATCCTTTGAATATCCATCATGCCTATTCAGTAAATATTTGCGGGTTTTGAATATTTGTGACTAGCATTGGACAAATATCTGGATTTTGATAGATACCCATGCTATTATTTGTAATATTCACATGAATATTCACGAATATATATAGATCAATTATATTAATTACGAACCTCACTATTCATGAATTTGGTATAACCAAATACTAGATATTCAGTTAATATCCATTTTTAACTGTGAATATTCATAGATCTGGCCTCTATTTACCGGGCATGACCTGAAAACTGACAGAAATATGATTTAGCATACAAAATAAAATAATCTTTTTTCAACAAATAAATTAATATCTATTCATGATATTATTTTCTTATAAGGTCGGAGCTATAGTAGAAATAGTATTTAAGATGCTAGAAAATAATTAAAAAATTTTATTTTAATTTTTAATAAAAAAAAATTTGACTTTAATAAAGATATTCTGTACTTACTTTTCTCTGAGAATCCTAAATGAATTTAAGTGAATAAAGTAAATACTTAAATGATAATGTTTAAAACATGTGAATACCAAAATCAGTATGCGTCGTGTAGGGTTCCACAATTTGATTTGATTTGATTTGATTTGATCAAATATTCAAATCAAATCAAATTCAAATTATAGATTTATTCGATTCGATCAAATCAAATTAACAAAATATTCGATTTGATTTGACAAATATTTGAATATTTGAATTGATTCGAATTAAAACTATAAATTCAATAGCGATTTACGCAAAATTTTATTAAAATAACTGCTATTTTCATTTTAATTAACTAGGGTTATTTTGATTAGAAGAACATTTTTTACTTAATACACAAAATCGATTAGCTTAGTAAAATTTTGCGTAAATTAAGATTTTTTAAAAGTGACAAAATTTTAAAATTTTTAATAATATTTGAATATTATTTGATTTGATTTGATTCAATTTGATCAAATCAAATACAAATTAAGAATTTATTTGATTTGATTAATATTTGATTTGATTTGATTCGATTTTGAGGAACCCTAGTGTCGTGAATACTATTCTATATACCATTTACCCAATTAATTTCTAAGTATCAGTGCATAATTTATTTGAAATAATGAAAACAGTTGAGCAGCGTTGAAAAAGACTTGCCAGAAAAAGGCAGAGAAATTTAAAAAGAAGAAAAAAAGTTACTAATGCGGAACCAAGAGTGGAAGTAAAGATTATGAATACAATCCTAAATAATAATAATATTAGGTTAGTAGAAGCAGAAGTCCCTAATACTACAAATAAGACTAATACTCAAGTTAATCAAAGATGAAATTGGATAACGCGTTATGAGTTGGGAAGGATGAATCAAACATGTGCCTATTGTGAGGCTAAATTTTGGATAGAGGAAAAAGATCATAGTAGCAATCAGAGATCTTTAACATTTGCAACTTGCTGTGCCCACGACAAAGTTCGCTTACTGTTCTTACTAGAGCTTCTATCATATTTGCTTAATCTATATACTTCATTTGAATCTACTGCCAATTTATTTCGTAAAAATATTAGAAAATATAACAATATTTTAGCTTGCACATCATTCGAAGCCAACATTGATTAATTTCAGAGGAGAGGTGTCTCTAACTTTTGAATTCATGGCCAAATCTATCATTGTATTAGATCTTTATTACCAGAAGAGAGCCATGCACCAAAATTTGCTTAATTATACATCTACGATACTGCACATGAGAATCAAAATTGACGTAATATTATGCAAGATTTAGATGAAGGAATTTTGCAAAATTTACAAAATATGCTTGATTAACACAATCTCTACATTCAAAATTTTCGTCAAGTGAGAGATGTCATTTAGACAGACCCAACTATCGAAGTTTCATTGCTAATTCATGGTGATAGAACAAAAGATTCTCGCTGATATAATATTCCTATAGCATCTGAAGTAGCAGCTATTATGGTTGGTGACGGTCACGAGGTAGATCCTTCTAATAGAGATATTCTTATTAGATCACGTAATAGAAATTTACAAAGAATATCAGAGTTACATCCCTCATACGATCTCCTTCATTATGTATTATTATTCCCAAGAGGTGATGATAGTTGGCATGCTGAAATGCTTCTCACTAGGTCTTTTATAAGAAAAAAAGTAACTGTAATGCAATTTTACTCTTATTAATTACAAATTAGAGATGAAGGTTGGCTACATCGTGCTGGTCATTTATATCAGCAATATGTTGTTGATCAATATGCTAAAATAGAGCAAAATTGCTTAAATTATATTAGATATGAGTGCGTAAGAATGAAAACCTATAACTGATCATAGTAAATCATTATAATCAGTTCCAGGTTTTTATTCTCACGCACTCATATAACCAATCGTCACTTTGAACTAAACTATACAAAGGTATCGTGAATGCTATACATGCAGGTAATGGAAGTAGCAATATTGGTCATCATATAATCCTTCCATTATTATTTGCAGGTAGGCCACACCAAATGTATCAGTTATACCAGGATGCTATGGCTATTGTACATCATTTTAGAAAGCCTGATCTCTTTGTAACTTTTACTTGCAATCTTAAATGGCTGGAAATTACAAAAGAGTTATTTTTTAACCAAACTGCTGCAGATAGACCTGATTTAACAACTTGAGTGTTTCATATCAAATTACAAGAACTATTAAAAGACCTATGCCACAATCATTATCTTGGTAGAGTTATTGCGTATATATATATTGTTGAATTTCAGAAATGTAGTTTATCTCATGCATATATTTTATTGATACTTGCACCAGATGATAAATTAAGGTCCATGGATAATTATGACTCTATTGTCTCTGCCAAAATTCTGGATCCTGTACTACATTCTCTTGCATATGAGACAGTATCAACCATGATGATGCATAGCCTATGTGGTATATCGAACCCAACTGCACTATGTATGAAAAATGGTGTGTATCAAAAATGGTATTCCAAAAGTTTTCAAGAACATACTCAAGAAAATGAAAATAGATACCCCACCTACCGTAGATAGCAAACAAATCATTTTGTTGAAGTCAATAGAATTAAATTAAATAATATATGGGTTGTACCACATAATGTCGATTAATTACAAAATATAATACCCATATTAATGTTGAAATTTGTAGTTCTATCTTAGCAGTTAAATATTTGTACAAGTACGTTTATAAAGATCATAATCGGGCAACTATCACTCTTTTTCAACCTGGTAGTAATGAAAATCAAGAGGCAACAACTGAAGTTGAACCAATTGACGAAATCAAAATATACCTTGATGCGAGATATGTTTCAGCTTCAGAAACAGTCTGAAGAATTTTTCATTATAAAATGCATGGCCGTTTTCCAAATATACAAAGACTTGCAGTACATCTTTTAGAAGAGCAGTATGTTCCTTTTCAAGATGGAGAAAATCTTCAACATGTAGTAGAACGTGCTAACACACATAAGACGATTTTAATGGCTTGGTTCCAAGAAAATATAAATAACGGCTCAGCACATACATATATATACGTCGATTTCCCTGCTCATTATACTTGGGATCTGTTTTAACATAAATGGAAACCTCAAAAAAATACAATAGCTGCTATCGGAAGGCTCTACATGGTACAACCTTCAGAAGAGGAAAGATATTATCTAAGAACTTTACTTACCTGTATGAAAGGTGCTACCGGCTTTGATTATTTGAAAACTGTAAATGAATATTTGTGTACAAGCTTCAAAGAAGCTTGCATTTGCCTAGGCCTTCTTCAAGATGACACTGAATAGGATGCATGTTTATTAGAGGCAAGTAGGGTACATACGGAACAACAATTATGACATCTCTTCACAACAATTCTTCTTTTCTGTCAATTACAGAATCCTGAAATATTGTAGAATAATCACAAAATGGTGTTGTATGAAGATATTTTATATAAAAAACATCAACTAACACAAAATCAAGATAATATAATAAGTGAAAAAATTGAATGGGAAGCATTTCGTCAATTAGAATGCTATCTTATATTAAACGGTAAATTATTAAAAAACTTCTCTAATATGCTATTACTTCCAAAAAGGATGCTAAATTCTAACTACAATGAAGATTTGGACCAATTAATACGGGAAGAGAGGTTGTATAATGTCATATAGTTAACAAATGAACTAAACCGAAATGTTCCTTTATTGAATGAAGATCAACGTGTAATATATAATACTATAATACAGGCTATTGAAAATAAAGCTGAGTGTTTCTTTGTAGATGGTCCAGGTGGTATTGGCAAGACATTTCTGTATAATGTTCTGTTAGCATATGTCAGGTCACTTAGAGAATTTGCTGTAGCAGTAGCTTCTTCTAGAATTGGCATATTTTTAATAAGTGGTGGTTGTATTGCATACAGTTGATTCAAGATTCCACTTAAACTAAATGAATCTTCGATCTGTAATATTTCGCGCAAAAGTAAAGAAGCCCGTTTAATTAATGAAGCAAAGCTTTTTATTTGGACGAAGCTCTAATAGTCAATAAATTCGTATTTGAAGCACTCGACTGAACTTTTCGTGATATTGTTCAAGTAGATAGACTGTTTGGAGGGAAGGTCTTTGTTTTTGGAGGAGATTTTTATCAGATACTTCTAGTTATACCATGTGCATCTCGTGCTGAAGTTGTCACTGCAAGTCTCTGTAAATCATTTTTGTGGAGACATATTAAAGTAATGAAATTATCGATTAATATAAGACTTTAACAAACTGATAATCATGATGAGAATCAGAAACAAAAACAATTTGCCGATTTCCTTTTAAAAATTGGAGAAGGTAAGTATCTAATCATTCCAGGCACTGAAGACACAATAGAACTCTCTTCAGATATAGCAATACCTAGAGGGGAATTGCCAGATCTTATCGACTTTGTCTACCCCAATTTGGTTGAAAATTCTAGCGATGTAAATTATATTGTTAGTAGAGCTATTTTAACACCAAAAAATGATGACGTTGAGAATATATCGAGTTTGATAATGGATTGGTTTTCTGGAGAACTTCATATATATTCTAGCGCAGACGATGTGAGTTTAATAGAAGATAGTAATGCAGAACAGTCTCAAATATATTCACCAGAATTCTTAAGATCTTTAAAAAGTTCTGGGCTTCCACCTGGTGAATTAAAATTAAAAGTAGAAATATCTATCCTGCTTCTACGTAACTTGGACCTAGTACAAGGACTTTGCAATAGAACTAGACTAATTTGTCGTGGGCTTCAAAGCAAAGTTATAGATGCAGAGATAATCACAGAAACAAATATTGGAAAACACGTTTTCATTCCTCGAGTAACTTTGATGCCATCAAATACAGATTTACCATTCATTTTAAAATGGCATCAGTTTCTAGTGCATGTTATATTCTGTATGACCATTAACAAATCACAGGGCCAAATACTTGCACAGGTTGGTCTCTATCTACCGCAATCAGTTTTTTCACATGGCCAATTATATGTTGCTCTATCAAGAGTAACTTCTTATCGAAGTATCAAAGTTCTTACTTCCAAAAACTCAAATATAAGTCAAGACCGTCAAACAAAAATATTGTATATTATGAAGTTTTTGCCTAAATATATTCATAATTAAAAAGTAATATTTTCATAAATACTTTGCTTAAGTTTTTTGTTATTTTTAGATTTAACTATCCCTTATTTAATACAGTAACTATAATAGGTGAAAGATCAGATAACAATGAAAAAACTAAATTTCAATTTGTAGATGATCAATCAACTAACCATAATACAATCATGATCAATTTCTTTTTTTAGCAAATCTAACATTTGTTTTAATATGTGTGTAGTATTACGACGTAATTATGTACATTAAGGTGAAAAAGTTTTTGGACGATTACTTACTATGTAGAATTAATATTAATTACTTATAGAAATCGATAACAAATATTTCTGACCTGCCCAAAATAGATATGATCATCACTATTAATAATTTTGATAAAAAAAATACCATCAATTAGTATTAGGATTAGTGATATGGTAAGGTTAGGGCTTTAAAATAGTAATTATACTAACCTTTCGCAAAAATTTTTTTTTTGCTAGAACGCAATAGATGGTTTCATAAGCGAAATTTCAAGATAAAAGTGATTTTTTAAAAAAATTGGTCTAATTTTAACATTATACACTAATCATTCATGTAAGTTCGACGTAATGGATGCTGATTGGATAAAAAGTAGAATTTCTAAATTGGGTAGAGTACATAGATATATCCGTATAGTAATAACATATCCAATTATTCGATCGATTAGACAAACTTGTGATAGTTATCAACACATAATCAATACTAGCAATTTATAATCATAATTTTGAAAATGTCATTTGCTGTCTGAGTTTTAATTCGAATAAACATGATTACAAAATTATAATAATAAGATATAAATTATAAAGTAAATATAAAACTCTCATAGATATGTGTGTCTGCGAAATGATGTAAAACTATCCAACATTTGTCTAGAATTATAATTCAGCATCCTATCTATAATTTACTTTAAAAAATTCGAATAACTGTGTATAATTAGCATTTACACATATAAAGAAATTTCTATTGATCAATCTAGCACTATCTATATTGTATGTACATATAGTCTAAATTCAATCAGGTATTTTACGTGCTATAGAAATGATCTGCAATATACTAAAAGATTATATATTCTAAAACTGATTTAATTTAAACAAAAAGCATCTTTTATTATTTAAAAAAAAATAATATCAGGAAATTTTTAAATAAAGTGCATATCGATTACCATCTGCAGGGATGATTGGCATTGATTTATATTGATTATAATCGATTGTAATCATTCAAATCTAAATGATAGCAATCGATATAAATCGATGCTAATCGATTACAATCATTTAGATTTGAATAATTACAATCGATTATAATCGATATAAATCGATGCTAATCATCCCTGTAGATGGTAATCGATATGCACCTTATTTAAAAATTTTCTGATAAACAATTAGTTTTAAAAAAACTTCAAAATATTTTTACAAAGTTATTTTATGAATATGTAGTCTAAAAATTTATAGGATTCTCTAAAACTTTTGTATATTAAATAATAATATAGCCAATAATTGATACAAATTTTATACTATAGAATTAAAAAAAAAATTTTTAATTAAAAATCTTTTGGCCAAAAGAAAATAATTTGTTATATAAATTTAAAAAATATTTAACTAAAATTATCTAGAATATTATTATTAAGTTTGTCTATATTATACTTTAATATTGGTTTAATATTAGTTAAAATTATATGTATAATGCTAGCCAACTTATAGTACCCAATATATTTTTAAAGATTAATAATAGTTTTAAGTATTGTAACAGCTAATTCAAACTAAATAATTATTTACTATTTTTCCTGTTGCATTGCAACAGGTTCATAGCTAGTAAGTAATAAATACTAAAAAAACTAGCTATTCTAAGCTATAACGAAAGCACTATCACTAGTTGTTGAAGCATTTAGGTATTTTCGGGTAGTGAACAATCGGTTTGTCATTGTTTGATCAGTTGTATAATGGATAAAGGTGAATTCGAAGGTGATTTTTAAAAAAAATAGCCTTTTTAATTTACTTTTAGCCAATAATTAAACATGTAGATATTGCAATATTATATATACTTAATTATAGATTCAAAGTAAGTTTAAAAAACTATTTTTGTAAAAACTTACTCTATAATAAATTTTAATGACAAATAATTTTTAATCATGATTGGCTAATTTTGGGACCAAACCAAATTAGTTGATATACATTATGATTATGCATCAGGTAACTGATGAATCACCAATTAAATTTCTTAGAAGAGGAACAAGCAAGGGCAGAGTAGCAGAATGGTTTAAAAAAATTAAATTAGTACTAGTGAACTCACAAGATAGACAAGTAAAAACCTATTATCAAACAGAAGGTAATAATAGCTGGGCTTTGAAAACTTATTAGACAAGACTATTTTTTGATAACAGAACCAAAGAATGGGTAGTTATTAATATAGTAACAAATGAAGAAAACTCAAAGCCAATAATTTTAAAAGTAGTTTCAAGAACCTTTAGAAGATTTTAGTCAAACATTAAAAGATAACAGATATTCACAATACTGGTGATCTCATATTAAAGAAATATTCTAATTGCATATTTAATCAGAACAAGGCATATAAAAGATGTAAGAAACTTTATTATGAAAGCAAATTCAAGGATCTTTTTCAACCTTTATTAGAAAAAAAGACAACAAGTAGAGACTAAAAATTTTGACAAATACAATTGAACTTTGCTATAAAGGAAAAAAAGCAAAAATTATAAAAAAGAGTTTCAAGTTGTAAATATAATAAGCTACAATTTGGATATAGAGATAATTAAAAAGCAAAATATATCCACTAAGCTTAAGAGTAACTTAATAAAATAAAACCAAAACAACTAACTATTTTCACAAAATAAGTTAACTTTTCATATAGACAGTTCACTATATTAAGCCAAAAACAAAACAGAAGGCCCTGATCATATAGAAATAGAAATAATGCAGATAGATCTAAATAAACAAAAAGTAATTGAAAAAGGTTGTACTAAGATACAAAACTGGCTATCATCAACCAAACCAGAATTGTTAGTAATCTGGTTAGCAATACTAGCAACACTAAGTAAAAAAGAAGTTAAAATTTATACAGATTATGCAGTAATAATTACAAGTATAGAGAAAAAAAGAAAATTTTAACAAACAAACAATAGTTAAAGCTAAAGAATCATAATCTAGTAAGAAG